AGGTTTTAATTTATTGTGTTCAAATATATCATATACTTCACACTTAATTAACAATATTCTTTCCTTTGTCCTGACATTCTTACACACCTATAAAAAAGCACAGATTGAATTATTTTTGTTATCTGTTCCTCGCTGGTCTTTTGCCTTCATTTTTTCGTGACTCTTTTCAGTATCTATAGGCCCACCCTACTTCCGGGAAAACAACACAGTATCTACATATGATCTCTTAAATGGTATAGGGTGGGCTTTGTCTGTCCTCATGGAATTTAAGGCTGTTTCCAGTTCTCCACTTGTATCAAATGAAGATGATGTTGGCAGATAGCTTTGGGACTGTCATAAAGATTCTTAGTAGAGTTGTAATCATGCTTTTTGTCCTTTTCTGGAACCTTTATCCATCCAGCTTTGACACCTTTCTTTGATACCCCAAAAATGTGTCATCACAAAACATTATCCTCTGTCATCACTAAAACCCCTGTGTATGGATGTTATGTTCCAGAGTTACATGTTTCTTTCATTTTAACCCTCTCCCCTTCCTCTCATCTCTGTATATTGGAGCTTTAATGATTTTTCCAGGAAAACCTACAAAGATGTGAAAATATTTTGAGACTTGTAGATTTTAGAAATTTTTGAATTCCAGCAAATCTTCGCTGTGTAGTATTTCTGAGATTTTTTTCATATTCTCTGTACCTTGTGTGTTTTTTTATTAAATATATTGGTACATTTTAGGTAAACAGTATAATGACATTTATCATTAGGAACTTGTACCTTTACATAATATATCTTGATTCTTATTTTTTTCCCATTCCCCTGCCCTCCCTTTAACCCGTCTACCCCTCCTTATTTATAAAAACTTTGTTTCTGTTCCTTCCTTTTTTCACATTTATTGTGTGTGATTTTTTTTTTTAACTATAAGCACATCTAATAGTTTAGAACTTCTCATTGAAAGACTACTATAAATTATAGCATTTTGGCAAGGCATGATGGCGCATGCCTGTAATCCCCAGCACTCAGGAGGCTGAGGCAGAAGGATCGCTGTGAGTTTGTGGCTAACCTGGGCTACCTAGTGAATTTGAGGTCAGCTGAACTACATAGAGAGACCCTGTCTCAAAAAACAAAAAACAACAACAACAGAAATAATAGCAGTGTGTATCTAACTCTCAGAAGGAAAGGAGTTAGGGTGCTGGAGACAATAGCACAGTAGCGGCTATACTCCGTGAGTATGTTCTTTTGTTCCAGGAGCTCTCCTTCACACTTTCATATGTTCCCTTTCAGATCATATTTCACAAATGGAATTTGCATTAAATTAATTAAAACAGCTTGTGATGTAACAGCTTTAGATGAATAAAATGGCCCGAGGAAGGGAATAGCAGTACTAGGTTTGAGTCCCCTAGGCTAAAGTTTATGGCCTAGAGTACAGTCTCAGTCAGTGCTTACTAGAGAAGCAGAACACACGATATGCAAATACATAAGGATGTACAAGGTTGGCTGGCACAGTCTCCGCTCCCTGGAGACCCAAAGGATCCAGTCCAAGGCCTGGCACTCAATGTAGCTTCTCAGTTCATAGGAGGAGGCTGAAGAGCCTGCGCTGGAAGCTGGGACGATGTCCAAGGTGAAGGCCAAGACTGGGGCTCCTCGGAGACTCGGAGCCTTCCTTCTTGGTTTCCCTTTTACGCGGTTCAGACAGCAAGCTGCCCCGGCTGGGTCTCCTGTCTTCAGGGAGCCCCCACAGCCACACTCAGAACTATGCTGATCCAACTTAGTGGGGCTTTTCTTAAGTGGGCACAGTCACTTGGTGACAATTGTGGCTTTTCACACATATTGGTTCTCATGCTTTAAAAAAAAGTCTTTTCTTTATTCTAAGTTCTCATTTCCTTGATATTAAACAGTGCTTCTCTTGCTAATTGTAATATTCTAAATGTTAAACTGAATTTATTCCATTTTGATTAAACCTCTTTTTTCATACTGTTGTGATTTTTTTAACTTTGTAGAGTTTAAAACATTTTGTTAGCTCTTTGTAGTGGCTAAAATTTCTGTAATCTAGGGCTATTTATATCTGCTTGGTTATGAGTTTGAATTTTACCAGTTTAATAGGTCCTAGTCAGTATTTATTTTTTATTGATTGTTTTCCCAAGAAATTATGACTGTTTTTTTATTTTCTTCCTTTAAAATTTTGTTGATTCAAAAAATAGATACCCTGTTTGTTAGGTTGTACAGAGATCAGTGTAGGATGATAGCGCCTGGCATCTTCCTGACCCGCCTAGCAATTGTTACCCTTAATATACTATATAAGCAGTTAGTTCTTCTGCAGAGATGAATTAAACATCTTAAAATGCTGATTTAGACAATGTTTTTTTAAATCCTAGGATGCACTTTGTTGTATGACTGACTCTTGCTTAGTTAAATGCTTTGCAGCATTATAACATAGTTGGATTCAGCTCATCTTTTAAAGCAGTTGTCAGAAAAATATGGGCCAGCATGGTAGAATGTATTAGCTCAATACATCGTCTCCATTTTATTATGAAGCTGCTGAGGAAGCTGTGATATACAGCACTGTCATTACAGATCTATTGTTAGGATGGTTCCACAGTCTTCTTTGCACTGCCATTAATTTATAGCAGTAAACAATATGTAGCCTTCCAACTGCAGCAAAGCAGAATCTTTTAATGAGGTGGATGTTATTACCACAATAAATCAGTGCTTTCGCGTAATGTATAATTCAATGTGTGTATTCCCACTGTAACTTCTCTGAGTAAGCTGATAGTGTATCATTGTCATTGCACGGCTCTACTGGTCTTTTTTTTTTAACCTTCTTTTATTTGGGGACTTCTTTTTTATATGCTTGCGAATAAATATGGTATGTCTTGATAGCTGTCCTACAACTGGCTTCAGAAACCAACTGTAACAATAACAGCTAGAATCAATACTGTGGTTTCTACCTACATAGATCTTTGCATGATACCATTTTTTTCAGATGCTAGTGAAATCAATCCTAATTGGTTTTAGCATTATATTCAAGAAACGTGATTCTATAACTATTGATTTTTTGGGAGTAGGGAGATACTCATTTGGAGAATAATAAAAATGGGAGCAGATAAAGGGAATGCTTAATATGCTGCAGAGCTATACTAAAGAAGAATTGATTCTGTTTTTAATTCATACAATTTGTCTTTCAATGATTTTATTTCTTTCCTTCTGCGTCGCTCAGTCTTCAGGGACAATGACTAAAATACATTCATAGGCCTTATATATATTGGTTCTGTAACAAAGAAAGAATTCTGGGACTGAGATCCTTCTTAACTAGCATACATTTAGTTAGATATAATTCTTTTCACGGACACTAATACTTTAAAAGGTAACATTTTAAAATTAGTATATTGTAACACTTAAAATAGTAATTAAGATGTCTAAAAAATCTATTAGTATGTTTTAAAATGTGTAAAATAAAATACATATTGATTAGAACCAAGTGACTGAAAGAGGATCACATCAAAGGTAAAAGTAGTTTTGATAAATAATATTTAACAAGTAATTTCAGAAAGGTAGCCAAACGAGAAATTTGAAATGTTGCTTAAAAACCCTGTAAGGTGAAAAGCAGTTAAAAAAATTAGTCCGAACATGTCTGAATATATCCATTTTAAGGCAGTGTAATTTATTTATTTTTGTTTAGCATTTCCCCTGTGAGTAATCAGATACTTTCTTATAAATTAGGGAAAACTAACTCAGAGGATTTCACATGTGATGTAAAGCAAAAGACAGTTCTGGGTCCTACACAGGAAAGTAATCTTTCATTAATCTGTTTTTCACTGAATTTTACTTGTATTTTAAATCAGGACTCAAGAACTACCAGAGATTAGAGTTCTTAAGAGAATGAATTGCTATTTAAAGCAGCTTATCTTAACATTCTTTGAGCCCTGGACACATTTGAGAATCTCAAGAATCTATACGCGCATAATCACAACATTTTACCTACTGTTTAATGGAGTTCATGTAGCCCCTGAATAATAAAAATAGCAGCAGCAGTAATGAAACCAACTAGTATTTATTGAGCTTCCATCTTAAATCTGTACCAAGCAATATATTGGGGGCTTTACAAGTAATTATTTTATTCAAACTCTTCATTCTAAAAGATTATCTTAAGAAAAATAGTATTCAAGGAACGTAATCAGGCATTATTTGTGGGAGTTTAATGTACCTTCTCATAACCTTCTGAATGGGTTTTACTATTACTCCCACGAGTCTGGTTTTTGACCACTTTGTTTTCGTGATTCTGGGACCTTACTGTGATATTATACTGTTTTGCAGTAAGCTGATCAGTTGTCTACCATTCCTTTTACGTGATATGTATATCGTCATGCAGACATCTTTGTAATTGTCTAACTTCTGCTTTCTCTTTACTAGTAGAAATTTCTAGCTCTGTCTTCATCCCTTCTCTTGCAGGCTCTCCCTTGAAGCCATTTCACCCTTCCCCCAGTCATTTTCCATTCTCTTCTCAGAACTCATTAGATGTCAGTCCTCCAGCTTAAACATTTGGTTTCTGGTTGTTGCGTCTAATTCATGCAATAAAGTTGTATAGGCGCTTTCCAAAATATTGTATTACTAATAATCACTTTGGGTGTCTTCATAAGATTGTTACAGACTGGTTAAAATTATCGTACAGCAGAAACTAAAATTTTAGAGGAATTCAGGTTTATCCACCCAATTACTTATGCGTTTGTGTAACATGTTTTTAAAATTAAATGTGTTTTTCCAACCATTTTTTGATATGTCTGGTTTTTTATTTAAATAGTACCTTTTTTAAAATTTTAAGACAAGGTCTCACTGTGAACTTAGGCTGGCCTTGAACTCATGGCAACTCTCTTACCTCTGTCTCCTGAGTGCCGTTGGTAGTACATATTTTTAGATATTACTTTTATGCCTTCTGATAGGAAAACAGAAAAAACAAAGAAATAAAGGATGATTACATTTATGTTTCTTGTTTGTTTTTATTTGTCCTTTGGCAGCCAGTAGGAGCTTTGAATCCAAAAAGAGCAGCATTCTTTACAGAACGTTTTGAATCATGGGAAGATGAACAAGTTCCAAAATTCCACTATGGTACTCATTACTCAACTGCAAGCTTTGTTCTTGCATGGCTGCTAAGAATAGTAAGTTCCATTAAAATAATAAACTATGGCTAAATAAATTCAATGTTCTAGATAATGTGCAGTGATTAACAATCTGCAGCATCTTTTTTGAATGCTAAAAATCTTTTGAATACTGCAGTTCTATTTGTACATACCTCTGTCATTTAGAATGTATTTTATAATACTATGATAGAATTGAATTAAAAATGTTTCACGTACAATTGTATGGATTTTCTCCTTAAATTGCCTCTTTAAGTGATTGTTGTTTTAACACACTAACATAAGTTCTTTTCAAATGTAGTCTATTAAATAAAAGCTAAATAAAGTTTCATTAATGCAGAAACATATTCACAGTATTTTGGAAGATCTATTGCTCTAAATAGATAATGGGTATTTGTAGATAACCAATGCTGTAGTGTATTGATAATGTATTGGTTAAACAAGAAATGCTTCTATAAAATTGAAAGGTTATTCATCTACTAAAAAGTAATTTCTTTTGGAAAGCATTAGCAGCAGATCATTAATTAAAGCTTGTTAGAAGGGTATGGGCAAACATAAACCCTAGAAGTAATTTATAGTGCTTAGCTAATTTCAAGCAATTATCCACTAATATGTGTTTAAATGTTCTTTAACTAAAAGCGGGCTTTTAAAACTTCTAAACATTTTTCTTCTCTGAATCATAAAGTTAATATTTTGTAATAACAATAAGAGATTTACACAGTGGACTATTTCCTTCTGCTATGAAGAAAATGCCTTCAAGTTATTTCTGAATGTTATTAATAACCTGTTCTTAGAAAGGAAGAAAGTCTGAAGAAAATGTTGCAAATACCAAATTTTGGAAATATTTAGAAATATTTCTTCTGAGGCAAAAATAATTTATGAACATTATTATAATAATACAACTTCCATTTGATTCCTGGTTTACATTAGTAGCTAATGCTGATTAGTAATTATAATATTTTGATGTAAACGTTTATAAAAACACTTTTATGCATTAGGGGACATATGGAATTTTTTAATTGTTTATTTTTTAGGAACCCTTTACAACTTACTTCCTAAATTTGCAAGGAGGGAAATTTGATCATGCAGATAGAACTTTTTCATCAGTTTCCAGAGCTTGGCGAAACAGTCAGCGTGACACATCTGATATTAAGGTATAGAAATGATTCATGTTATAGTGTGTTCATTACTCAGTGAATATGCAGTCTCTCTCCTCCAAACACTCTACTTCACTGAAGCTGTGGCTCAAAGGGTGAGGCTTTAATTAATTATTTGGTCTAGAACCATTGTATAAAGTTTCTGACTCCATTTTTCTTTTGTGTCTGTCTCTACTTGTCTGTTTATATCCTGAATGTTTGTCTCCTCCTTGCCTCTAGTTGTAGAATTTTTTGCCTCCGCATTGGACCCTTTTGTTAAAAGAAAAATATAGAAATGTGGATGTAAAGGATGCCAGGTTGAATGCTCAGTGGAATTCCAAACTCAGTAGATACACTTACTGTAGATTGGAAAGTACTCTGAGAAAAAGCTCAGACATATATATTCAGAAATACCTCATTTCTGCATTCCATTCACTAACATTAATTGTACATAGTAATGGCATTTAGTGTGGTATTTCTATACATGAGTACTGATCAATCCAGCTCCTGTCTTTTTGCTCCCTCTTCTGACGTACACACCACAGGTCAGCTTTTAAACTTCCACACAGAAGAGAGAACATGTTGTACTTCTTTTTTTGTGTCTGGCATGGTTTAATTTAACATAATATGCTTTGGTTCATCTGTTTATCTGCAAATGCCAGAATTTTATTCTTCACGCCTGGATGGTTCTCTTTTGGGTATACATGTCATATTCTCTATATCCCTTTGTCTGTTTGTGGGCACCTAGGCTGACCCCCTCTTGTAGCTGTTGTAGTAACACTGCAGTAAACATGGGCCTGCAGGCTCCTTCTCGGGGTACTGTCTTCCGTTCCTGTGGCTGTGTACCCAAGAGTGGAGTACAGTGGATCATATGGTAGCTCTACTTTTAGTCTTTAGCGGAACCTCCATGCTGTTCCCGATGAGGGACGCACTAATTTACATTCCCACCAACATTTCCTTTTCTTCACTTCCTCACCAGAGTTTTTCTTTAAATTATAGCCATTCTAACTGAAGTGGTATGATAACTCTTACAGTTTTGATTTGCTTTTCTGTAATGGCTAATGATATTGAGCGTTTTTTTTCTTTCATTTATTGGCCTCTCATCTTACTTCTTTGAGAGCTGTCTATTCAGATCACTTGACCATTTTTTAATTGCATTTCTTGTTTTTCTTATCATTAAGTTTTTGAGTTCTTTATATATTCTGCATATTAACCTTTTGTTGGATTAATAGTTGGCAGTTATTCTTGTCCCTTCTCTGTGTTGTCTTCTTACTGCTGATTATTTCCTTTGCTCTGCAGAAACTTTTCTGTTTGATATAATTCCATTCATCAATTTTTGCTTTTTTTACTTGTGCTTTTGGGATCTTATCCAGAAAATCTTTACCTGTAACAATGTCAGTTTCTTTCTGCATCGATTGAGAGCAGTATCGCCACTCACCTCATAAACGTCTTTACCTGCTGTTAGTTCTAATTCCATGCCTGACTGCATGGTCAAGGACCACATTAATGCTAAAGGAAAATATGAGTTTTTCCATCTAGGTCTTGTGTACCTCAGCGGTGGCATGTTTGCCTGGGTTCAGTTCACCAGCACCACCAGTCAGTCAGTCAGTCAATCAATAAAATTTAAAAAGTCTTTTTTCTATGTGCATATTCACTACTGTAATTATTGAAAACCTTGTTCAGTAGCTAATATAATCCTCATGAGACTTTTATTTCTACCTCCAGCAGTAAAAAAGTTTATTTTTTGGCATAGTGTCTCCTTCTTCAAGGAACTGTTAGATGCTGTTAAGTGTAAGCAGATATGCCTATAGGTTTGAAGGTTCCTATAGTTACATAAAGGATGTCTCTTATGCATAAATAATTATACCATATGGCAAAAAACAATAAGTTCCAAGGAGAAATAATGGAGTGCAAAAGAGGAAAAGCTGCATTAATGTGTAGGTTACCATATGGCACTATAAATATTTTTTGTAATTATATTATTCACTTTAAGTGTGATTTCCTTATAGCCTAAAATGTATTTTATTTATTATTTTAATTTTTATAGAGTACAGCATTGTCCATATCATAATACTCTACTGAAGAAGATTGCATTGTACCTAAATTTTTTTATGTTGAGGTGTCTATTAGGGATTTTTTGATCTTTCAAATTATATACTCCAGAGTACTTTTAAGATATCATATCACACTCTTTAAGAATCATCAGTACAAAGTGGAGTGTGGTGGCGCACGCCTATAATCCTAGCACTTGGGGGGCTGAGGCAGGAGGATCACTGTGAGTTCCAGACCAGCCTGGGCTACATAGTGAGTTCCAGGTCAATCTCAACTACATAGTGAGACGCTGTCTCAAAAAAGCAAAAAAATGAATCATCAGTACAAAGTGTCTTACTTGTACCTATGACAGCATTACGAAGAAACCCATTATTTTATGCAATTAGAATGCATCAATAATTATAATATTTTTAGTGGGATTGCCTGTAATCCCAACACTGGGAGCCAGAGCTAGATAGATCACAAATCTGAGTCCAGCCTGGACAACTGAGCTATTTAGTGAGACTTGTCTCAAAATCGAAATAAAGAAGGGCTGGGAATATAGCTCAATACTAAGGCTCTGGGTTCAGTCCCCTGTATTAACAGACATTTTGACATAGCTGAATTGTTAAATGTCGTTTCATTCTGTTCAGAGATTATCTTCATGATCAGCTTTACTGAAACCTACTTACTCTTCTAGCTAAGCTATATATTCTCCTTCTCCACCACTTTCAACCCCAAATCCACAAAGTGATGTCCAGTCAGGCATGGATAAATTATACCATTTTCTATATTGATAACCAGTTACTTCAAACCCTATGACTCAGGCTCAAATATTTTGTTTGTTTGTTTGTTTTTGTTTTTGCTACTGGGGATTGAACTCGGGTGACAGTTTAAGGTCCAGTCTATCTATTTATTTATTTATTGATTGATTTATTGATTTATTGATTTATTGATTTATTGATTGATTGGTACTGGGGATTGAACTTGGGTCCTTGCATTTGCAAGGCAGGCCACCGAACTGCTGAGCTAAATCCCCGGCATGCTTTCAAATATTTTGAAAATTATATTATTTATTGGCAATATATATATATGTATATCTCATATACCATATGCCATTCAGTTTCCTTATAAAGTGAGGGATTTAATCATGCCTCATTTTTTGTTTATTTTTTTCTGCTTTTTAAAGTTTTACATTTTAATATTTTAGAGAGCATATTTAAAATTATACAATAAAAATAAATGTATAAATATTAAAATACTATAAGAATGTAAAAGAATTCACATATAACATTGTATTTCAAGTGCAGTCATTATATTTGCATTGTCTTCCTGGGACTTCTGGAAATCCTAAAGACAGTCTTGAACAGTAGGGAGTGGTGCTCTATGAAGATGGAGTCATAGAAATTACTTCACTGAATGGGTTCTAAGGTGTGCCTTGCCTGATTAATATCATATATATTAACTAAAATGCTTTTGTGGCATTTCACAAAAATGAAAGGTAGAGGATTTAATTCCTTTTTTCCAATAAAGAAAAAATAAAAACAACATTACCTTTCTGATACTTAACTCTCTTTTACTAAGGAGGAAATTGCTGTAGTATCTTAGAATTCCTATTTATCATGTTCAGCCAATACTTGGAGGATGTTAGTCTTTAAAAGAAAAGGGTATTCCTATAAAATACAGGTTAAATATTAATTATTTTTATTTCAGAGAAGAAAGACTCCTCATTAGCTTTTACTAAAGCAGTTTTAATGTGAGTTACTGCTTTCAAAAGTTTTTGAGATTCATTTTCTGACCTTTCAGATCTAATCTTTCAGTGATACTTTTTCTTCTCCCTGAAGAAACAGTTCAGCTTGGTTCTTTAAGTAAGTTCATGGTGATACTGTCCAGTAGCAGTATACTGCAGACGACAAATGAAAGCCACAGACGTAATTTTAAATTTTCTTAAAGTCACAGGTTGAAAAGTCAAAAGAACCACATGAAATATTCATAATGCATTTAACCTATTTAAAATATTATTTTAACATGTAATCAATATAAAACTATTGAGATTTTTTTACATTTCCAGCATGTGTCTTCTAACTAGCCATGTGTTCAGTTACCACTTATAGCTGTACCCTCTCTATTGGGCAGCACAGACTTGGGGCACTGTTTTGGAATCACTCCAAGAAGCTTCAGAAGATATCTTCATCCTCTTTGAGCAACGGTGTTTCTGGTGTGTACTTTATCGAAATATGAGCTGGAAAATAGTGACTGTAGTATGTAGTCTTGAGAACTGAAATAGAATGTAGTAAAATTGGGTTGGAAAATCTCTACTATGAAGTTTCAGAATCTTCAAGAAAGGACTGGGGAGGAAGCTGTATATTGAGTACTTGCCTAGCATATGGGAGGCCCTGGGTCTAATACCCAGTACCACAAAATAACAACAACAACATCAACAGTAATAATGATGATGTTGATAATGCTGTTGCTAAATCCCTCAGAAAATCTGTTTCCAATTTTAACAATTCATTTAAATTTAGGAACTGATAAGGTTCAGAATAGATAACTCTCTTCATTCTTTACTTTGAATTTCTACAATTAAATTTTGTGGCACAAATCACAGACTCAGAGATTAAATACATTTCACAAGGCGATCACATCTAAGTATGGGCCAAACATAGAAGCCTTTTCTGAGCAGTCCATTGTCCCTGATTTTTACCCTTCTCTCAGGGCAATATTTTTTTGCCTGTGGTACCGGGGATCGAACTCAGGCCCTTGTGTTTGCAAGGCAGACAGCAGAACCACTGAGCCGAATCCCCAGCCTTCAAGGTAATATTTTTTTCAGGTACCCTCTCAGTAAATGCTCTTTAATATCTCAGTCAATCTGACTTGCTGCAGTGCAAGCACTTTTATTTCTACAGACATGATTAAAAGTTAGGATTAGAGCGTGGGAGGAGTTTAAATGGTACCTTAGTTCATTACTCAGTAATGGTGGTAGTAGT